TATGCATCTTCCAGAGCAAAGCTTCAGAATTAGTTACTACAGAGTCCAAACCAAATAGAGGAGACACCCAGGATCCAGTATTTGCTCTGATCTCTCCTGCTTGCAGCATCTGTCCTTTCATGTCAGGGCAGTTGGAGACTCTCCTTGCCCACAGGTAATTCTAGATATTTGTTCACCCCAATGCCTCTGTGTGTCCTATTTTGGCCTTCCTGTAGTATTGCCATTATGAATGAAAAGCCTTTTCACCACCACATTCTCTCTACGCCTACCAATTTCTGATAACATGGCAAATATGCCAGAATGCCCCTCTACATCTCCTCTTCCTCCAGTTGCAGGCCCTGCCTGCTTTAGGGAAGGACGTCATTCTGGGCAACAGGAAAAACATCAGATCCCTATTATTTCTGGTGGAGTTTCTTGTTATGATTGTATGAGTTGAGCAGAAGTTGGCTCAAGGCCAGTGGGAGTTTTCTTCATTTGTGTTCAACACTGCATCTTCTTTGAGCATAAAATGGGATCAGTTGCAGAGAGGCAATACAATCAGGGTCAGTAACGCCTTGCAGCCTGTACCCCAGCCAATCAAAACACTTGACATGCCTTTGTAATACCCGTTTTGGTAGCCACTGCTGTTATAAGAGGACACTTTGCAGGAGAATTGATGTAATGAGGTGTTCTTAGTGGCTCCTGGATAGCAAAGCCCACAGTCTGTCTAAGAGTTACCATCTCCTGCCAGAAAAACTCTGGTACTACAGTATGAAGACATAGTGGCTATATCTTTATATGAGTTTGCATATATGAGTCTAGTCTTCCTTGCCCTGCCTGTTAGCCTTTCGTTTGTGTTTGAGCAGTGGCAGTAACACTTGTTCCATGCTTCCATCCTTGTAGCACTTTGGGTGGTAACGGACATGTGGATTTGCCCTTGGGAGCCACAAGTGGAGGACAGGAGGGAGCAAACCCTGTGTTTGACCACTCTCAGCTCAAGAATGGGTTATAGTCCTTTGAGAGGGGGTGGGGAAAGACAGCAGAGGTCAAAGGACAGCCAGGTTGCCCTTGTGTGCAGAGACCCTCACGCTCCCAGCACCACAGGCCTGCAAGGTGGCAGTAGGAAAGCACACGTGGCAAAATGGGGCAAAGCCTAGGACCTTCTTTCCATTTTCTTGATACTTGCCTCTGAATTAAGTCTCAAGGAGGAGGTCCTACCCCTGTTGCCATGCTGCAGATGGGGAAGGAAAGCAGAAGGGGTGAAGAGCCTTTCCAGAGCTGCTAGCTGAGCTCAGATGTGGTGGGGGCAGTTTACCATCTGTTGGTTTAAGCGCAAGATACAGCTATGCAGTGTGTTGGCAGTGCCTTTCGATTGCCTGACTCATGGGTATCATGTTGGTCAGAAGGAGAAGGGAGAGCAAATGTGATCTTCCCATGGTCATGTGTCAGTAAATGGCAGGCTGCAAAATGATCATCGTGGCTGATCATCCATGGTGCAGAGGCCATGGGGAGATCATGTTCAATCTGGCAGAGGCTAGAGCATGTCCAAGCCAGTCTGCAGTAGCTGATCAGGTCTATAGGTGATCTTCAGGACGCTCCCGGCCTGATTGTGTTGTATTCAGTTCCCCCACTGGATTTCACAATCAGATGACAAGATATGCACAAGGTCTCCTGTTCTTCCAGCTCAAATCCTTCTTCTCTGTGTTGTGAATCTGGAAGGCAGGGTTGGAGGAAGAACCAGTTGTGCTGTGTAGCTGGCCGTATTTCTTTGTCACCAAACCATAAATGCTGGGAATGAGGCAAAAAAAGGGCCAGAAGGAGGAGCCAGGAAACTCCAGGCCTGTCAGCCTCCCCTCCATCCCTGGAAAGGTGATGGAACAGCTCCTCCTGGAGGTCCTCCCTAAGCATCTGGAGGACAAGAAGGTGATCAGGAGTAGTCAGCATGGATTCACCAAGGAGAAATCATGCTTGACCAATCTGAAAGCCTTCTCGGATGGGATGACTGGCTGGGTAGATGAGGGCAGAGCAGTGGATGTTGTCTCCCTGGACTTCAGCAAGGCTTTGGACACTGTCTCCCATCACATCCTCGTAGGCAAGCTCAGGAAGTGTGGGTTGGATGAGTGGCCAGTGAGGTGGATGGAGAACTGGCTGGATGGCAGAGCTCCGAGGGTTGTGGTCAGTGGTGCACAGTCTGGTTGGAGGCCTGTAGCTAGCGGTGTCCCCCAGGGGTCAGTACTGGGTCCAGTCTTGTTCAATATATTCATCAGTGTACCTGGATGAAGGCACAGAATGCACCCTCAGCAAGTTTGCTGATGATACTAAACTGGGGGCGGCGGGGGGGGGAGGGGGTGT